AAAAAAGAAATGACTTCAAACCAAAAAGCCTTGAAACAGCAACTTTAATGTCCTTGCTTCCCATGGTGTAGATGAATGGATTCAGCATGGATGGAATAATGGAATACAGCGCTGTAATTATGAAGTCAAGGTGCAGTTAATTGTCAGAGTGCCAGTTTGGTGTAGTGGTTAAGGTGCTAGCTGAGAAACCATGAAAATGTGAGTTCTAGGCCTACCTTAAGCATGTGACTTTGGGCCAGTCACTTTCTCAGAGCCCAACCCACCTCATGGGGTTGTTATTGTGGGAAACATAGGAGGCTGGAGTATTAGGTAAGTTTGATATATGCGGATGGATGGATATGTGTATGGATATGGATATGTATAATAATATCTGCTGTATTAGTTTGAAAAATCAATAGCTAACAAACCTTTATTGTGTAGGAAGTGCATCTAATCTTTTCTGGGGGGAGTTCACAATGAAAAGTTTGATTGAAACCTCTTACGGTTGTAGGTGAGATGGCATGTTTATCTAGTCTCCTGATTTTGCAAGATATGTTCTATAGAGTTAGCACTTCCTACTACAAAATATCAGGAAATTGTGCTGCCACTCCACCATTGGTTATAAAATGGTTACTTAGTGTTATGCCCTGCTAACCTTAGTAGGAAAATAAATACATGCTTAGAATTCCGACAAATGTTGAACTAGCTCCCAAATTTAGGAAATAGGAAGGAAGCTCATTTCAGAATTCAAACATATTCAGAACAGGCCTCTCACCACAATAAAAGATGTACATGTGAGAGGGGAAATAATGGCACCATAGCCATTCTTAATAACTGGTTTACATGCTGTAGAAACACAGCTGCTAAGTTTAGCAGGACCAGATTGGAAAATGCTGCTGTACCCAGTAACTTTGCAAAGAATTGCTGGTTCTTTATTTTTTTCTTCCAAATATGATTTTATTCATGGATTTCTGGCTTTTTCACCCTAAACACACTGTGTTTACTCTACCTGGTTTGGTTGCTTTGAATTTTACTAAAAAAAACAAAAACACCTACAAAATATGTTAGACCTGCACCTTGATTTCATCTTGCGTGTAGGTCACTGGAGGGAGTTTAGGATGAAAAGGAAAAAGAAAAAAAAACTAAAACCAAAACCAAAACCAAAACCAAAACCAAAACCAAAACCAAAACCAAAACCAAAAATAAAAATAAAAATAAAAATAAAAATAAAAATAGTTTAAAAGAACTATTCTGTGATGTATGAAGGGAGCCTCAGACCATGCTTCCTTAGAAGTGTGGTGCATTGAGACTATAAGAGTAGACAAACTATCATTCCTGCATCATACTTGTAAGGAAATATGGTCTGAGGCTGCATCATACATCACCAAATAAGTTGCATGACAAATTAAGCCACTCTAGTTAATATACGTATCGGCATATTTTTGATTATGTGCCATCAAGTCATTTTCGACTCCTAGCGACCACATAGATTTTCTCCATGATATCTTTATCTTACTCTTATACATAGTTAGTGTTTCCCTGAATTAATACGCCAATACTGCTTACTACTCACTAATATTTGTAACCATTGTTATTAACTGATTCAAATTCTAATTAAAACACTTGTCCCAAATTTACTCAGAATATTATACTGGGGAGGAAACACCAAATATGGTTAAAGGCCTACAGGAGACAAGGATAGCTTTCTACTCAGATTAAAGACTTGAAGTGGGTTCAGTGTCATGTGAAAATACCATTATTTAACTATATTTACTTGAATAAGCAAGAAATATAACAAGGTAAATACTGCATATAAGTATTGAAAACCTGGTGACACCAATGTTGCCTTTTTAAAAGATACTAATTCTCTTAAAATGTAATTTATTGTATTTTATTCATCTAGATTGCATTGGACAAGTTTATTTGATTAAAACTTTAACCAGAACAAAATTTCAATTCATAAACATATTAAGCACATTATAACAAATAACTAATGACAAACATGTTAAGCCATAATTATTGTTTTATTTAATGTTTTAACTATAGTGCGTAAACAGTCTAGAACTATTTCAGGGATCAAAGCAGCATACAAGTAAATAAATAAAATTTCAAATATTAACATACTAGTAAAAAGTGATGGTGAGCAGTTAATTTTTAATAAGTTTCTCATTTATCCAGCCAATGATTTCTGATTTCTTAGGAAGACCTCAAAATAGTCATATGAGTTTTTAAATATTTCTTATATAGAAACTCAATCTGAATTACAACATTCTGCTTAAAAAACAAAACAAAAAGCTAAATTTAGATTAATTTCAAGTTCATTTCACCAATCCTTTCTCTTAATGTATGCATTGTTTACACATTCTTTTCATACATCCATGTTTGAAATACATAGTTTCATTCAATCCAACATTTAGTATAATTTAGTTAATTCTAATTTCATATTTTTTAGTTAACTCTTACTATCAGAGTTGCTGTTCTGAAGATTATCTCTGAAGCTGAAACATCAAGCAAAAGACATGCATTTCAGTAAAAGTATCTTAACAGAGAGAGACAGATTGGTCTAGTGGTTAAGCCTCTAGATTAGAAGCTATGAGCCCATGAGTTATATTCATAGTCCTGCCTTATATCTGGAAGCCAGTTGGTTGATTGTAGGCCAGACACTCTCACTTAGCCCTAGAAAAAAGGTACTGGCAAACCACTTCTGAAAATGTTGCCAAGAAAATTGTGCAGAATTGTTCCTGTAGTCACCAGGAGTCAGGGTGACCACAAAAATCTTAACAGAGATGTGTTCAATCACATAAATCAACAAAAAACCTTTGTAATGTAAGGTAATATGCAAGAAAGTGGGAGTGGTGACATAGGTTTTATACCCTATGTCTGCTTTTTCTCTTTCCCATTAATTTTTTTTTTTTAAAGTGTAAACGAACAGTTCATGCTTCTTTCAAAAGAAATAATGTCAGACCAAGAAATCTTGAAAGAGCAGCTTTGATCTTCTTGTTTCTCATGCTGTAGATTAATGGATTCATCATGGGTGGAAAAATTGAATACATTATTGTAATTATGAAGTCAAAGTGTGATGGACTGTCAGATATGGGCCTTAGGTAAGCAAAGGCACCAGTAAACACGAACAGGGAGAAGACAGTGAGGTGTGGCAGACAAGTGGAGAAGGCCTTTTTCCTTCCTTGAACAGAAGGAATTCTCAGTACAGCACAGAAGACATGCACATAAGTGACAACGACAAAGGCAAAGCAACCAATTACTAATGTAGCACTGAAGACAATAATTCCAATGTTAAATACAGATAAACCAGAGCAGGTAACCTTAAGTAAATATGGGATTTCACACAAGAACTGGTTGATAATATTAGAACAGAAAGGAGTAATAAAAGTGACAATAGTGTGTAATGAAGCATTGAGAAGGCTGGCTATCCACACACTGCTAACCATTATGGTGCAAGCCTTCCTGTTCATTGTCATTTCATATTGCAGTGGGTTACAAATGGCAACATACCGATCATACGCCATGACAGTTAGGAGGGCAACATCAGAGTCCAGGAAAAAAACAAACAAGAGAACCTGAGCAACACATCCAGAATAAGAAATATACCTTATCTTCATAAGAGAATTAAAAATGGCTTTGGGGATAATGACTGAAACTGAACCAATGTCTTGCATGGCTAAATTCATCATGAAGAAGTACATGGGGGTGTGAAGGTGGTGGTCAAAGACTATAGCAGTGATAATGAGAATGTTCCCAGTTACTGTCATTAAATAAAGTATCAGGAATAAAGATAAGTAAATAATCTGTACCTCCCAGTGTTTTGAGAAATCCAAGAGAAGAAACACAGATGTGTCATTATCCATTATTAATTATCATACCCTTAAAGGAAAAAGAACAGTTAAATTATTTCTTATTAAATGCAGTTTGGAGTGTTTTGAACTGATCAACCTTCACTGACCATTACATTAAATCTTAATCATCCAACATTCAGAGTAACAGCATTATGTCTTGATCTGTCAATTATCTTACTTATTTTTAATGTCAGTGTGGTAAGTCTTGGGCCTTAAGGCATTATTGTATGTCTTGGACTGGGAGATATTTGAGGATGCATTTTAAAATTTCAGGTATTTCTTCAGTACTCATGCATAAAGTCTGATCAGATTCAAATTTTTGGTTTCATTGTTGAGTTGATTAGAGCCAAATTGAGTCAGATTAAAGCATCCAAATTCAATCAAGTCCCTTCAGTATGAAGTGATTAAGATACTAGAACCAATGTATGCATGGGAAAAAAAGCTTTAGATAAGTTGAAGTTTTATAATGACTTAAACTGAATCAATGACTCAATCAATATAGTGATTTTGGTTTAGAAAGGGAATGAAATTGCTTTTGAAGAGAATGTTAGTATGGAATATTTAAAAAGCCCTAGGTTATAAGGACATATGAAAAATTAAAATGAGGGCATAAAGGGAAATGACCTGAAAATAGATTACATGAAGATAAGGTAAACTTCCAAACTCAGCTGATTCTTAGGCTTTTACTTCAGTGG